ATCATTTTTTTGACGGAGGAATCTTAAGCTATTGTTACATCAAACTCTATTGACTTGTTATGTGCATCTTCTGTTACGAAAGGCGCTTCACAAGCTAATACATTTATCTCTTTACTTTACTGAATACTAGATCTAGTAGCTTACCATGCGCGTTATGAATACCATTGAACTGATGAAACTCTAGTAGATTGAACGTATCAACAAAGGACGGAAAAAAGTACAGCTCTGCCATGAGATCCAATGAATATGGTATTGCTCAGGGAAGTTTTCTGTGACCAATTTTATTAATCTTGTTCATCAATGACTCAAGTTCTTTGGTGCCCAATTTGAATAAGGTTGTAGTTGTAAAATACGATGAAGACACAAACTTGTTTCTAGGCAGTAAAAATAAAGATCAATTAGTGTTAGAAACTATGAGGAATCTATAAATGCAATAAATGAGTGGTTCCTTGGACAGAGGCTAATTCTCAAAAAAGAAAAAACAAACATAAACTCAACAAAACGATTATTGGTATACAGACTATAAGTAGATATATGAATGAACACTATTAGACACTCACAAGCATTTCGAATTGTTTGGATTCTAGTTGATGTTCAGACAAGGTCCATAAATTAAATAACCGTGGTTTGAGTGGCTCAAAACTAGAGATTCACAAAACTGATTCCTCAAATATTTGTTCAAAATTGTCCTATTACGATACAATTTCCTTAGACATGCAGCTTTTCTGAACTTGCGTATACTTGCATGTCATCTGCAAATTGGTCTATAGAACAATCTGAAGAAAAATCTTTCAAGTCCATTGTATAAAACAAAAAAAGAAGCGGACCTAATATTGAGCCCTGAGGAACTTATCGAGGTAGTGGCGTGGTCTATGATAACATATTGACATCGGTTGGAGAGGTAGCTCTCAATTAATCTCATTGTTTGAGTGGAAAAATTGGAAAAATGTAGTTTAGCATGTCCCAGGGTATCAAATGCTTCACTATAATCTAGCGTTACCAGTAACGTTGCGTTGCCTTCATCAGTTGCTCTGAATATATCATCTAATAGCTTGGTTGAAGCTGTTGTACTATGTCCCGAAAGGAATCCAGATTGGAAATCGGAAAATAGTTCATTATTAGTAAGAAATCTCATCATTTGATTAAATATCAATTTTTCAAAAATCTTGGACAATACCGGAAGCCTACTGATAGCTCTGAAATCAGACAGTTGCTTGAGGTTTGATACTTTTCGAAACGGTAAAACAACAGCATTTCTCCAATTTATAGGAGAATATTCCTCAATGAGGCAACAGTTGAATATGTGAACGATGAATGGTAACAAATGAGGACAGCACAGCTTAAACAGAAGAGTTATTCAATCAGACCCTTCAGTGCTTGATTTGATACTACCAATAGCCTCCACCAAGTCATGCTCCCCAAAGGGTTCCATTTTACATGGGTCTACATTATTTATAAAATTTGTTGGTTATTATAGTATTCTACTAGATCATCATCTACTCTACACCCCAATGCATTAACTGAATCAATGAAATAGGAGTTGATAGTGTCAGCATCATTTTAATCAGCTGGTAGTGGAACATCCGATTTTTTTGAATGGATATGCAACCGTTCAAGACCTTTCCAGGTCTTTGTTCGGTTTTTATTATTTTAATGTATTTCGTCAAATAATTCCGTTTTTCAGTTCTCACTGCTGCAGTAAAATCATTTCTCGCTAGCTAGTTCTTCAAATTTTTTATTGATTTATATTTGGCGAGTAGTTTGTTTCGTTGGTTTCTCATTACCTTTAAATTATTTGTTAATTCAATTTATTTTTGTTCTATTTCTTTAATTTGTCAAATAGTTTTTATTTTAATTAATTCTCCTGCCTCATCTTTCCTAAAGTAAACCGTACCAATCCTATGCTTTCTGAAATAAACCCCTTTAAAAATCCCCAAACAAATGGGGTTGTATAGAAAATCATTGGTTCGAAATGAAGACTGTTTTTTCCAATAGGGCGGCAACTGATACACAAATTACGACCGCAATGTGGCTACACAGTAGAGCAGTTGAAGGAATTGGGGTGGAAATAATTCCCACAAAAACGCAGTTTCCATTTTCTGAAGCCTCATTTGACCCCTTACACTATATTAATAATATAGATGCATTCATTTATGTGAAAAAATTTTAAGGCAAATTTACTTATTTCAGGTGCCCAAACCGAAATGATTGTTTCACAAATCAACACATGTTCCGCTACCTATGTTAGGATCTTCCGGATAAGATTTAAACGAATTTCAATCTCTTTCTGAAAATGATAATATGGTTAACAGATCCCAAAATTCCTGTCGAGGCGTGAAACAATCATTTTGGTATGTGATTGAAACAATTCTCTGTGACGTGAGTGAAAGGTTCCAGTATTTGATATATTATTCTAGGTATACCTAATATAGTGAATTGAAAGCAGCGACGGAAGATAACAAATGTTTATTATGTTCGTCAAGTACTGATAATAGTTCGCGTAAATGGGAACAAGATAAAGAGTGATCTCAGGTTTGAATCAAATCCTGATAGAGAAGCATCAACTAGTAGCAGCATCATCAACAGAGCTTTGCGATCTGAGCTGCCGACATTCGCATTCAAAGATAATTGCTTGTTTTGTGGCCATTTCATCAAGGAAACTGAGAAAAGAATTAAATCTGCGATTATACCAGTGCGAACTTTCGCGTTTCGAAATTATTGATGTGTGTGAAGCAAGAAACGATTATTGGTCAGCAAATGTCCTTGCACGTCTTCTTTTCGTTATCGACTTGCCAATCTTTACAAAAAACTGACATGTCATCCTTAGGAAGAACTCAGATCAAGTTGACAAGCAGTTCAAATTGCACTATACCAGAAACTACTTCCTATGTTCTAGCTAGATGGTGGAAGAGAACTGGAATATTTGGAGATATCCTTGAATTTTACAGCAGGTATGTAAATGAGTATATCGGGTAAGCAACAATCCTTTTCGATGGATATGCAACACCTAGTACCAAAGATTTGGAGCATCAAAGACGTACGAAGAAATCATCAGTCACAATACAATTCGCAGAGAGTTCTAATCTCTTTATTGGCAAAGAACCTTTCCTCTTGGATACTGAAAACAAGAAACTCTTTGTGAAACTACTAGGACAACATTCAGAAGCTACAGGTCACAGTATTTTTCATGCTGAATCTGATGCAGATACATTGATCGCGAAGACAGCACTCACATTAGCTAAAGAGAAGCACGTAACAGTCATAACAGATGATTCTCATATATTGGTCCTTCTACTATACCATAATAGGAGAGATATAATTATGCAATCTGCTACTTTCTCTGACAAAATCTTGAATATCAGATTGATTCAATATACGATAGGAGAAGTAGGATGCAAGGTCATCCAATTCTGACATGCCTTAACTGGATGTGACATCACCAGTGCCTTATTTGGAAAAAGCAAATCGTTGAACTTTTGTTACATGCCAAATAAGCCATTTTTATTAGGATTAGGATTTATTCGTATTAACGAATTAACGAGTATTGGAAATACTGTATTTTTATTTTGCACAAATGTATCATTCCATATTTTCTTTTGTGGGAATTATTTCCACCTGAGACGATACAAAAAATTGGTTTCACAGCATCTGGAGAAAGAATTATGTTTCACATGGTCACAAAGTAGATTGACTGCCTTGCCTGAATTCTGAACCTCGCTACGCTCGGCTATGAACTATCAGCCGCGGCAGTCAATCTACTACTTTGCTGCCTAGTAAAACAAATAACTATTCCCCCACTTTTGGACACGCCTGGTACCTTCTTCTGCTCATCAAACCTGCCTGTCAATTTTTTTCTTTATTCTACATCTACAATGTCTAAATAACATCATATAGTGAAATTTCAAGTTTACAGCGCAAAGTTCAATTTTTAATCATTTTAACATGGCGTGAAAGGATTAGGCCTGCCAGGTCATGGTTTTCGTACTCAACTGCCTTTGATTCATCACTATACGAATATTGCCTTACAGACAGACTATTATATAAAAGGTTCACGTGCTCTTGGACTAATTATTGTCCTTTGGTTGATTTTATGAATGCCATTAGGTAGCCAAAAAATAATAATTCTCAACTATAAGCAAACTCTTATATTTGAAAGATTATCTGTTCTAAATAAGTCCCAAAGCTTGTGCCTGTAGCTCAGTAAAACGGTAATGATGAAAATCCTGTCGTCGAAAAAAATGCAAGTAGTCGGTTTCTCTGCCTTTTTATATGTTTTTTGGGATGCTTCAACGGTTTTTGCAGATAATTCATATTCTACGTATTTCTTGAAATAATGCATCATGCACAAATTGATAAGGCTTCAAATTTCTTATAGAGCTCATGTAGTTTGCTTAAATGCTAGAAAGTGAAAGCGTTAGGACATAGAGTATTTTCAAGCTCATCTTTTTCACTATATTGGAATTATATTTCCCTAAGAGGAGCTCTAGAAACATCTTCAGGAAGGCAGGAGTACAACGATCATCCTGTAACACGCATCCCAGATTGTTCTCCAACATCCCAATGATTCCTACCTCTACCAGCATATTTCCGAACACTCAATATATGCCGCGGTGACAAATAACGTGACAGAAGATTCTGGAATGTTCTGGAAACAATCGATGGAACAATTAGAGAGAGAGGTATTGTTCTGAGAAGCTTCTAGAACAAAATACGGAAGATAATTCGAGAACGTTCGATAAGCAAAGCCTACCAAGGGATCTACATTCATGAACAAGAACAATTTTTTTATAGGAAATTTAATTTACTTCAACTTTCTATAGGGTAGTCATTTCAATTAGATGCATAGTTTTCAAGTTGCGGACAAAAAACTGTAAAAAGTGAAAAAATGTATATAATTGTAGCGAAACCAACTAGTTGTACTTTTTCTGTGTGAAATTACCATTTTATTGAACTAACCGTTGTCTGTTAAAAAAAGTAAATAATGAGATAATTGTTCTTACAAATCCGGAACTCATGACCCTGGTGAGAGATTCCAAAGCATCACAGGCCTGAGGATGAAAAAGTACTGACTTTGAATTCTTCAAATATGCACCTCCGATATTCCCAATTAGTTGCTTGGGCATGAGCTGCATTATCAGTTTTTGTGGCCAACCATCCGCTTTTCTAGAAAAAAAATCACAAGGAATCACTGCAAATGATCATAAGTGTGACTGACTTCAAGTTTGTTTATTTTGAAGGTTTTCGATGGAATAAGGAAGTTTCCAATATTGAGGTTTCATCTCACTGTGAAGTTCGTAAAAATTTAATATGTACGTATTTTTTCATGTTTTCGTTAGATCAAATTTCACTTAAGAAAAAAATAAATGGCTTCTTCACCCTTCCTATGATGTACTTACTTCACTGTGTCAGTACAACGTTGACAGCAACATCAATATATCTAGATTACCATAAATTGTTCTTCGAATACATTATTACTATATCAACAATTTTAGATCAATTTTAGAACAACATAACAGCAATGGCAATGGCATATATTGAAAGTTGTGTATACACTTAACAAGACCTATTTTTATACTGTTCAGTCTATCTTCAAATACTGCTGTATTTCCACAGTATTGAAAAAATTCCTTCACAACACCAATATACAAAACTAGAGATAAAAAATATTTCAAATTACCGGGGTGTTGGAATGCAAACTGAAATAACAAAATTGTTTAATGAACTCATTTCGTTACAACTGAAGTGGTCCTTTAGATATATCATTATTCCATAACAACATGGTTTCTACTCGGAAGATCGACAGTTACAAATTGGATGATACAGCAATCTAATACTCTAAATGCATTTTAAAATCGGTTTCAGGTTGATAGTGTATACACTGATTTCACGAAAGCTTCTGATAGAGTTGAACACAAGTTGCTCAATGCTGAGTTGAAAGCACTGGGAGTTGGTAGTCATGCTCTAGCATGGATAAATAGCATTCTGATTGAAAGAGTTCAATGTGTTAGAATTGATAACTTCATTTCAAATGCTTTTAAAGTTTTTTCTGGTTTCCTCAAGGTTCGCATTGTGGTCCGATTCTGTTTACTCTATTTGAATGGAGTGTTCCAAAATTTAAATATTTGGTGTTTGCAGACGATGTCAAAATCTACAAAACAATATATAATATCAGTCATAGCCATGAGCATCAGAATTACATTGAACATTTCTGTAATTGGCCTGATCTGAATGCACTGTGTGCTGTGTCTGAACATTTACAAGTTTTTCTGTATAACATTCTCTAGATCGATCTCTCTACTTACAATTGATTATAAAATGAAAGATGAATGTTTAATGTGCGTCATTGAAATCAAAGATTTAGGCATTTCAATTGAAAGTAAATTGACATTTAAACAACATATTTCAAAAGTAACTACTATTAGTCACAGAAATTATGAAGTTGTTATGAGAAATAAAAAGAATATGTCACTTATTGGTTTAAAACTATCACCTTGTACACTTGTTAGGTCAGGCTAAGAATATGCTTTTATGATATGAGGTAGGGACAATTGAAAGAATACAGAGAAAATGTCTAAAGCATTATGCATTCAGATTAGGAATGAATTGGAATCATGATTATGACAACATCCAAATAGCACAAGATTGGAAACCTCAGAAAAACGTAGGTTCATTGTGCGTATTATATAAATTGTTGAATGGTATCACCGACTGCCCCAAACTTGACTGAAATTCAGCTAAATGCGCACAGTAGGAATCAAAGCGCTATTTTACATTAGTCATCATTCTACTAATTATGGCATACATAGCCCCTTCTCTAGGGTACCAAGGGAATACAATAATAATGTTACACAAGTTGAAATTTTCAGTAATAATTCATTTCAATCTTTCTAGTAGAGCCTAGAATTGTACCATCTCCAAATCATGGATCCACATGTCAAAAAATTATCATATGCGTTTGGGTGGTAGGGGGTAGTATGGACGACAGGTCGAAAAAGTTATAAAAAAATTTGAATTTCACTAATTACATTATAGGCGATTCAAAATAAGCTATACGCCCTCTTGCGGACATTCAAGTAACTAATGGAAAGTACATTGAATGTTTGTTTACATTCAAGTTTCCATGGATTAAGTGGTCATTATAATATTTTTCGTGTTTGAATTCTTCAGTAGAGTATCCTGAATCATTATTGCTCCGTTTCACATGTTATTCATGAAAGTTTTCTCAATTGAATAATTTTCTCTCAACTTCGAGAATTAATTCAGTTGCATTTTATTCCCAGAAGTGAAAAGTTCAGTGGGAATAAGAAAAAAATTTATCCTCACTCAAAAACAGAGCACATAATGATATATGTTAAATTTTTCCTACTAGGTAGATCAATTATTCGCAGATACATTCAGCTTTGAGGACGTTTCCTCTTCCATAAACACATGTAAGTAGATGAATCTATTATACATACATCTCAAATACCTACTTTGTGAACATCATATTCACTGCACTTAGTTTGCAATATTTATTTTACTACCCAATGGGAATGAGATACAAACTGGGGTAACCTGGAGGGCATTTTTATTTTGCGAATCTCATGTATTTTAAGTAGTGAAACATACTTCATTGAACGAATATCTGCTGAAAAGCTCCCTGGATCCACAGGAGAACACAAAACAGTTTTCTTTGGTCAAATCTATAAAACATCGTAATAATACACACAAGCAAATGAACCATTTCAAAACAATGTACTTTCATATAGTTCCACAACCGGCCACGTTGGCGTTGCGATCTTAATAAAAAAAAATACTGTTTATAATGTTGATGCGCCCATGTTTCAAGATGCAAATGGTTCTTTGAATTCGAAAATCGAACCATTAATAAGAAAGATATTTTGAAAATCATAATCGCATGCAGGAAGTACGGAGGAGCTTCTCCTGTTTTCAGGATTTTCACAATTTCAGTCACTTCTATTGGGTTGGTTGGGAATAAGCGTGTACACCTTAGTAGAACTTTTAAATCAAACCATGTTTATAATGATCTTTCTATACATAAATAATTATTGACGACATAATTCGATCAAAAATTAACTGGAATGTTTTATTTTTGGACATCAATAATAGTACCTTCTGAAAACGGACCCTCTTATGACGTAGAAAGATCTCGCGCTAATTCACTCTGGAACCAATGAGCGTGACCCATGTGTGACACTTATCACGGTTGCCATATCATTCAAACAAAATATTCCAGAGATCGAAATCGATATTGAAATATCTTTTGATGTCCACTACCACTACTGCAGAAAAAAAAGCTGTCGATTGTAGGTTGAATCATTGGAATATAAAACATCTCTATACAACGAAATGTCTCAATCTCAAAACCATTTGCACCATTACAATTTCACAATAATCCAATACATTTCATGAACGCAGCAACATTGCTTTGTTGACCCGTTTTACATGCTGCTGCATCTGCATCGAGTCTCGAATTCCGATTCCAAAGTTGTTTATGTCGTCTAAAATGAGAAGAGAAGACACGAAATGAAATTAACCACCAAATCTTGGTTTATATTATATTGATACATTGAATATAAATATGAACGTTGAATCAGGATTTGTAAAAGTCTCATCAGATAATCTACCAAAAATTGATTTGGAAATGGTTAATGATTTTTATTTCTCTAACATACAGTTCCTCAGTGCTGAAGTGAGGCATAGAAAATCTGAAAGGCAAGTTCCACAATATTTATTCAATTTTCATTGCTTGGAAAATTGTTCACCTGAAAGGATATTTAACATCAGAATACCTATCATATGGAGAATCCTCATTAAATCAGTCACTGATTGATATGTTTACATATGCAACAATATGATCAATTGGTATGAAACGATGTTATCTTGCATCTCCCCCTGAATGTTCTTCGAGGAGATGGAACATTTATTTTTCAAGCAATTTCTCAATGAATTTCTGCAATGCAAAACTACTACTATAATATTGTGTTTACCCACTGAGGGGCCAGATTTGTTCCCAAAATTCCCAGCTGAATGATGTGAATGATGCTGAAATGCAAAATTATGAGCTATTCTAGAAAAGTTTCTACATTTTTATTTGAATATTTCATCGAAGATGGTAAGCTACGCAGGGTAAGCGAATGTACAGATCTGGGAGTTATATTTGACAGCAAATTAATATTCAATTTACATATTGAAAAAATTAAATCCAATGCCAATAGGGCTCTAGGTTTCCTCATATGTAATTGTAAAGAATTTACGAATCTTAGAGCTCTTTGTTCTATTTACTACTGCATTGTACGTAGCAAGCTTGAATACTGCAGTGCGGTATGGAACCCAAGCCAAGTTAAACACATACAAGCATTGAAAACAGTACAAAAAAATTTCTCAAATTTTTTTTTTTCAAAAAATATAATATTTATCCTGAACGTCACTGCGATTACGATTTGCTACTAGAAGAATTTGCATTCGTTAGCTTGAAGAAACGACGTGAAATAGCAGACATGATATTTGCATATAAATTAATAAATAATCAAATAGATTCGGCGTCCCTTTTATCCACACTGAGTTTCAACATACCCCGGATCTCTTCAAGATCAAACCTAAAGCCTAAATAATGTGCCGTCTGTAGATATATTTTTTTCAAATTTAACCCAGTTCAGAAAGGAATTGTACACTCTTATTCCGAACTAGTTATGTATTTTCATTTGTTCACCTACATTGGTTCATTGTAATTATTATTCTTATTATAACTATTATTATTATATACTCTTGTAATTGGGCTCCGGCCTGTTGGATGTATTATGTATAAATAAATGAATAAATAAATAAATAAATAAATAAATAAATAAATAAATAAATAAATAAATAAATAAATAAATAAATAAATAAATAAATAAATAAATAAATAAATAAATAAATAAATAAATAAATAAATAAATAAATAAATAAATAAATAAATAAATAATTATCTTCATGTAAGCATCAACATAGTACTATGGGGAAGCGTATTTTGGTAAAAATCATCAGGTTTGATATATGATATATTTCCTTACACACATTATGAAGTATATAGTTTACATGGGTAATTTCATCTTCACAACCGTCAATTATTTCAGTATATATTGGTTGCTTTACTCATCTGAAGTTGTGTAACTATTTTTGAGCACCCATTTTTGCAGCTTAAATGTTTTATTAAATTTGTGAGCACCATTTATGTTTTTTTTTATAAACACACAACAATCTCCAAGCCAAACACTTCATATTTTTCAAGCATATAGCTACCTTTTTTCTATGAGCAAATTCACTAATCAATTCAAGGTAAGTCATAAGAAAATATACTTTATACAGATTTATTTGGTTCCACAGCTAGCCAGATAATTGTTCACCTAATATTTTAGCTGTGTGGCGCCCTTTGGTATCGATCTCTTAACTTATTGGGATAAATAATTTTCTAAATCTCATTTCAAGGAAAATATAATATATTCGAACTCATAGTGTTCTCTGACGAAGAGTTGCCGTTCGCAGTTTGTGCCGATATTTTTGTTAATACCTGTATACAGGCTGATTTTAAAATGAGTGCATATATTCAAGACATATATATGAGAGAGTCTAACAAAAATTACTAAAATATTAGATTTTTCCTAAGTCTTCACATTAACGAGAAATTTCATTTTGAAAATTGAACATAAAATGCTTCGAAATTCGAGTACGCCACTGGGAAGCAAGTGAAATCTGCGGAATCCCAGGGATTCTCCAATTCGTCATTCACTGAAGTCAGAACAAGACAGTGATGCCAGATTGTTTCAGAGACGAATATCCTGATAAAAATTTGTCACACAATGAATATGAATTGAAATGGGTTATGAAAACTAATAGAGGTGAATGTAACTCAGATGAAGAAAGGGACATTCTTCATCTGAGGAATGTAATATGTACAGGAGCCTTATTTTTTAAAGTTCACTGAGAGAACTGTGGGGTGATTATCTCCATGGATCACGAGAGACGGATAGAAACATGAGGGGAATGATAGAACGTCCCCCTTCCTTCCACAAAGTTGAAAATCGACTCACCTAGTAGATTTTCTCATACCTGCTCGAACAGCAAAACTCACGAGAGCAAACAAATACTAATATCGAGTCCATTCCAGACTAATATCGTCCTGTGTTCTTGTTGGTTCATATTCGCACTTAAAACATCGAAAACGACTCGACGACGACATATCCTTCCTGGCAATCTCACATTGAAAATCACGACCATATCACGATTATCACGACACAACATCCAATTATTTTATTTTTTATTTTACGTTTACAATTATTTTACAAACACACAAAAAACTATTATCATATGATCTGTCAACATCATTTCTCAGAATAGTAGTATCTGTGACCATAGATTTCCTCTTTGCTGTGACCTTTGACAGTTCTAACTAGGATTGTTCGCGTTCAGAGAATAAACAATCCAAAACCGTCAGAAGCATGCACAAGTCCACAGAACCCAAAAATCATACAGTTCTGTGAAACTGCGCATGCTTCTGACAGTTTCGGACGCAAGAATTCAGATGACCATGAATTACTAATAGGCGATTTCTACGGACCAATCAGAAACAGCAAAGTAGCGCCTGCGTGGTTGCGATTCATCCTGATTGGACACAGCTGATTGGATTTGTGAGATTAGTGTATAGTGAAGAGTATCATTTCATTGAATTAAACTAATAGATCTTTTTTCCAAATTAGTTTTTTATGAAAATGTTAGTTTCATTTAAAGATATGATCCTTCCTCACTAATACATTAATCTCAATCACCTGTGCCCAATTAGGATGAATCGCAACCACGCAGGCACTACTTTGCTGTTTCTGATTGGTCCGTAAAAGTCGCCTATTAGTAATTCATGGTCATCTGAATTCTTGCTGGTAGCACACCATAAGAACAATCAAAACAAAGATCCTTTCTTGACAGTTTGTTGTTCTGAGAATGTATGTTATTTTGGAAAACGTCAAAACGTGATACTAGTAAATGTAAACAGTGTGGTCCTTGTCATTACTTTTGTAATAGATCTATTACTATTGGGTGTTAGCACCAAAATATGATGTTCTGTTACTGTTAGCACCAAAATATGATGTTTTGTTACTAAAAAATCTATTTCTGTCTAATTTGTGCGATATGGTTTTACAAGAATGACATTCAGAATGTCAAATGTCAGATTTTTAGGATCTATTACCTTTTGATACAAATCTGTTACCATTTTCCAAGAAAATCTATTACGAAAAAATCAGACCCAGGAACAACACTGAATGTAAAGTTTTGTTTCTGACAATTTGCTTGGAATGTGACGATGCATTTCTCAAACATTGAGCTGAATGATATGGTTCTTATGTCGGGTCGTTATTGTGCGGGGCCCATGAGACTCCTCGAAGACCACGAAATTGTAGCGATGCAAGGAGGTGGAAGGAAGGGTCTAAAGGATTTTTCAGTAAAATAACTTCCAACCGTGAGGTGTTAAGTTATACGCTATTCAAGCTTATGTGTAGAAATCTTGGGTGAGTCCATTTTGAAGTTTTTGTATTATCTTTCTGAAATTCAAGACCAGGGTTAACTTCTTCCCCATGTACATTTTCTCGATTATGCATTTTATTTAATATCTCCTAATTTTCATGTAGAGTGGCAACGTCGCTTCGTTCATCACGGTCGACTGCGGATCGCAAACGATAGTTGTGACAGAAGTAGAAATCTGGGCGGAAAAAGGGTATTTTGCCCCAAATCTATTTTGATCCTAATAATATTTTTAATAGTGCTATTCGGTAGTATACCTCAAGCTTTCTTAGTGTTTAAAATATATGCACTTATTTTAAAATCAGCCTGTATATGATATTAAAAAAAAAAAAATTGGTCACAAGTTGTGTCAATTTTTAATCTCAAATTGTTCGTTAGCCTATATGTCTATAGTCCATAGTTGTTTTGTTAGTGGGTTGATCATCGTTATCTTTCATGATATAATCAATAACGACACCAAGGTGTCTTCTTTTATATTTTTATTCGTTTTTTATTCATAAGCTACTTGCCAGCTATATTCATCATCAACAGCTATGATCAGTCTGGATTCAGAATGCACATACGTCACAGTTTGTCACCCCGAAATTTAGAAATTGCTTTGTTATGAAAATAGACTTCCCATTGTGATAAATTATAGAAATATAAAACGATATATTCAAAAAATTACTCACAATTCGGGATCACCGTCTTTTGAATTGGCAGAAACTTGACAAGGGACATGTTTTGTAATCTTTTGTTGATCTGTGGCATTTTTCGGCTTTTCTATCCATTCCAAGAGTCCTTGCCAGATAGTGTGCCTTTCCCTCACTGAATTGATTTGTTGGGATTGCCCTTGAACTCCAGGCTGCATGTTCTGAATCTATGAAATGAAAAATGTAGAATATGGTTAATAATTTAGCATTTGTGACCAGATAAATTGGTAAAAATTACTATAACTTCAGGGACATATTCAACACAGGGTGATTAAAACTTCCCGTCCTCGGCTAATAACCGGAAAAGAAAAACTGCGATTGCAAATTTGGCAGAGGGAATTTGAATAGCTGTGTGTAAGACATATATTTTCGTGTCTAAACATTTTTCAACCTCTCTCAAAATGATGAAAATGGCATCAGAAAAATTACTTTTCTCAAAGATGTACCATTTTAGGGTGCGTTTTTCATTCCAACATTTTATCATGCGCATGAATCGAAGAAACCATCAAACTGTAAAATTCCGCTGGAATGTTGATGGACATCCATCAAACTGTTGTAATAAAATGCGCACTTTTAAATCGCATTTCGAGAATCCAGCAGTTTGGAGGAGATTGACATGACAGTTGACACATTTTAGTGTTGTTTTTTGTTTTGACTTGATAGAAAACAATTAATATTGAGGATTTTTGAGATTCTTGAGAGATTTTAGAAGAAAGAGTCAGTGTTAATCAATAAAGTCGAATTAGCCTTTTCTGATTCTCAAGATACATGATGACTGACACACAACAAAATCCGTGTTTCCATCATTGTGTTGTATAAACCATTGTTCAATCCTTCCAGCATAAATTCCAACAGAACAATTGGTGACGTCACGACAAAAAACCGCATCTATCAGTGCGCACTTTCTTCGATGGAATGAAAAACACGCCCTTATTCTCATATTTTGAAAAAACATTTTTTCAAACAACTTTCATCCAAAGAGTATTTGTCTATCTTCATTACTTCTATAAGACAGTATTCTAAAACTGGCCGGATCTGTTCTTTGTAGGTCATGAGAAGCTGTTGTACTGTAAAATAGATTTCCACACGGAACAAGAAACCGAGTTTTTGTGAAGCAGATTTTTCCATGAGAGAGTATTGCTGATGGTAATACCAAGCATAGATATAGAGGTCTTGGTGGGAATATTGGTACCGGGCATTGTTATATCAGACATACTGAGTACAGGCTTGCGTTTCCTTGGCGTTGAATTCAACTAGGTTGTAATCTCTGCAAGATCTCAATTGACAGTATTGGCCTGCCTTCGTCGCAAGTTCTTAGTTTCCTGGGAAAAAATGGAAATACTAGAAGAGAGCGCAGTATGGAGAGTACTATCGTCTGCAAAGCTATGGATAGGGCAAGTGGTTGCTCCCAATAGATCGTTGATATGAGGTAGAAACAATGTTGATGCCATGATTGATCCTTGAGGAACGCCGGAATTGATAGCAATGGTATTAGACGATACTCTGTCTACCACCACATGGAGCGATCTGTCTGAAACAAAACTTGATAAAAGATGGCATAGCTGGGATGGTAAGTCGTATGATGGTAGTTTGTGGAGCAGACCTAGTTGCCAAACACGGTCGAATGCCTTCGATATATCTGCGCTGCAGCTAGAGATTCCCCATGTTTTCTAATGAAGTTTTCCATATATGGGTGACGTAGGACACCGCTCATCCACGAAATACACCTTTTTCCCTTCCACATTTTAAACAAAAAAATCGTTGAGAACGCTGAATAAATAAAATTTGTACATGAGGATGCCTTGCTTTCAAATCGGTCACTCTGTATATCCGGGAGAAAAGTATTCACTTTTTCCCGGAGAAACTAAATAATTTTATGAATTGTAACATTTGATACATTTCAATAGAGATAAAATGCCAAACTTTTTTCCTGTCACAAAAAAGTAATTTATCGCGCACTGCAATTAACACTGATTTCATCAATTCAGTAACGAATCATAATATAGTTTTTATCTAGGACTATTGAATTAAGTTGAAGCAAATAATCATAATATAGTATTTATTTAGGATTATTGAATAAAGTTAGAGCAAATATCTGATATTTACCGTCAGTGCCACAGGGCGTCTCCGATTGCAAAGTAGCATTTTTATGGCCTTCAGATTTGCTCGAATAGTCTCGATCATACACATAATTTTTCTTAATCGATATGAATACTTTATAACAAGCATAATGGTATCCATGGATATTATCAACTGTTGAGGGAAAACGATATCTTCATATTTCAAATCATAAGCAGCACGAAAGTTCAGAATATGCTGGCATTTTCTTACATTTATCTTCTTCAAACAATTATTTTCACATCCTTGAAATAACAGCCAAAAACACACTTTTTTACACTTCTCATGTTGCAAAAAATTCGCTTGACATAATAATGAAACTAAAATAGCAATGATGCAACTCTCGAAATAAATCAAAACTCGAAATTTTAACGTCCACTCTCTCAGAAGTTTGACCAACCGAATTTGTTTGGCACACCGGGCTTTGTCATGGTTATTCACAGTCAATTTTTATAGTTGAATTGGAAACGTGGCGAGCGTTCGCTGAAAGTGCTAGAGCAACGGCGCGCTGTTGATAACTGTCTGTCACGGTTTTAGCCACTGTTTTTTGTCTGCCATTTTGCATGTGGCTTCATAAATGAGTGCTGTCTATACGGACGGCTCCAAAACTGATGAAGGATCAGGAGCTGGTATTTATGGGGCCAAGCCAAGACAAGAATCTCACTAAGCTTAGGCAAATACGCGACGGTGTTTCAGGCAGAAATTATTGCAATACGTCATTGCGTGAAAGAATTGATAAGGCAAGAGTTTAAAGGCAAAACCATTGCAATCTATTCAGATAGCCAGGCGGTAATAATCAAAGCAGTCAACTCTATCCAAGTTAACTCAAAACTAGTATGGGACTGCTTAGAAACTCTAAATGCACTGGGCAGTCAGAACAGATTGACTCTAGCATGGGTACCAGCACATACAGGGTACGAGGGCAATGAAGAGGCAGACTCACTTGCACGAGCAGGAGCAAACAAAGCTCTTAATGGCCCAGAACCCTTCTGTGGTATTGCGAAAGCTATACAAAAGACTAGTATCAAATCATGGATGCAAACCAAATCTCAAGAATGGTGGAACAACTCGCCAGGAATGAGACAGGCTAAAGAGTTTATTAAAAAACCATCGCCAACATTCACAGAATATCTACTAAGCCAGAAACGAAGTTCAACTAGAATACTAGTGGGACTTCTCACAGGGCATTGTAGGCTCAACAAACACATGAGTACGATAAGTCTGACTGAAGAACTGCTGTGCAGGTTCTATCAAGAAGAAGAATAAACAGCAGTACACATACTTTGCCACTGTGAGGGCTTGTCAAGACTAAGGTTCCTTACGCTGGGTGAGGAAAAACCAGGAGCCCAGAGATACACAGGAGATCTGAAAGCTAGCCTATGAAGTCTCATAGAGATGGCGGGGCTAGCCGAAGAACTCTAATCGATTTTGAGGGCAGACACAATAGATCTGAAAAGGTCGCAGTGTGGAGGCAGATAGCCCGAAGGTCCCATTCCAAATCCAAATCTAATCTAAATGCAAGAATGTAATATTCAATCAATTTGGATTGATGTACGTGATGATTTTTTTTTAATTTTACGCCACTTTTATGCTGTCTGCCATCACTTTAGCTATCAACAGATTGTCTGCCTACAATTTTTCGCGTTACTTAATATTACATAGAAGCTATTCAAATTTGACCTATTTGATTGTCCCACCCTGCTTTGAGCCACAGGGCCGCACTGGCAGAACTTAAAAATTTGAAATTTGTTACACAAAAGGATCTTTTTGAAGTAGGAATCAGCCATGTTTCAATAACAAACTTTTTTATGTAGCCAGCTCTTAGACTATGAAAATATTCAACATGAATATTGCACTTGTTTTGGCCTGATGAGCTTGAATTTGTAAAAATATATAAAGTTGCTGTCATTTCCATAAAAACCGGGAGTCCGCCCTGTTGGATTGTAATATGATCAAATCAGAAATGGTTGCTTATATAACTGCACCAAAAAGAATACGTTTAATAATGGAGAAGTTACAGGGGTGGCCCGATACCCTGTGTCACCCAGTATATTTCGATATTTTGATCAAAAAAAGTTTCTTGTGTATGTAAAACGATCCCCTAAATCCAAATATGGAAAAATATACAAATGTCCTATTGAAAAATGAAGTTGTTCCCGATTGAACCAAACGTGATAGATTTTTTTTTTTTTAATAAATGAACCATTTAGTATACTTGCTACCCACCAAATCCGATCTTGAATGATTCAGAAGTTACCGCCATGGCCGTTTTTTGTGAACTTCTCTGTATACAGTGCTTTCGTGGAATACTGGATAAATATGTTTAGCCAAACTATCCATTTCTGAGGAATCTCTCGAACAGGTCGATTTATATTTTCAATTTACCACATTTGTAAGAATTGAATATACAGGTTGATCCACGTTTGAGTAATAATGACTGAGACCTTTTTTTTATAGAACACCCAATATATTATTCAATTTTTAGAATCTTCCTAGAGAGCTGAATTCAAGATCTTATTACACCAGAGGGGCGTATACAGTATGTCCGTTAAGTTGTGTGCTCTTATAAATTAATGGATACATTCATTTTTATCCATGTACCTTTTTTCATTTTCAATTTGTCACATTTATGAAGACAAATTAAATATACAGAGTTTTATAAATATATTATATACCTTTGAGTTATAACGTCCGCGAAATTTTTTTTCAAATATAACACCCTATATATTATTCTACATTGGAAAACTTCAAGAATACTGGGTTTGAAAATAAGTCACCTACAGGGATTGTATACAGTGCGTCCGTGGAACTAAGTGCTTTCCTGAGGTAAGGTATAAATTCGTAAACAATTACGGGAAGAAAATATCACTAAGGCACGCTCTCAAAGTAAATTAATACATAGAGAATTCGTTTAGGAGAAATCACGGCATCGGTATTTCTTTGAAGGCAACCCCATTTCATGATAGCACTGCATATAAGGATGTTGCGTTTGTCGTCGTCATAAACCAAACGTGGTTCACCCTGTATATCCAAGTTTTCGAGATAAATGTGGCAAATTGAAAAGTGAAATCGATCTGTCTCAGCCAGATTTCTCAGAAATGGATAGTTTCGCTAAAAAATAATTTATTCAGTACTTTACGAAAGCACTTAATTTAATGCACTGTATAGAAACCCTTTGAGAGATATATATTTCTGAATCCAGTTTTTCATGAAGATTCCAAATATATTATAATATGTAGAGTATTCCATTTGAAGAAATTGTTGCGGACGTCATAACTAAAATGTGGATCACCCTGTATATTCGATTTTTCTTTAAAAATGTGGCAAATTGAAAATAAAAATCGAGCTGATTCAGAGGATTTCTTATAAATGTAATACTTTACGAAAGCACTGTACTACATACAGGGTGGGTCAGTTTTTTGTAGCAGGACTTCCAACAACTTCGAGAAAACATATTTTCTAGATGAAAAGTCTATGTGAACATATATGCGTGGGGGTTTCATTTCCAATATACAGGGAGTCGAAGGTCGTGATTTTTAAAAATATTTCTTAAGCCTTCTCCTACAATTTTCAAAATAATAAATTGAGATTTGGTTTAACTATCACTTGAAACTCAACATTTGGGTGAACTACTGGGTGATACACTTTTGGAGGTTGTATCCAATTTAACCCCCTCGAACTTTTTTGCTTGCTGCCTCTGCTTTCAACGAAACATTAATTCAGATCTATCGGGATACTTTCTTGCTCCGAAATGATTTTTTGTTATTTTTTGTATTCATATGGATTCGACAACCAAAATACATCAATAGAATACGCTAATTTTCCAAGAAAAAAAATCATGATGATTTAGTTTTAGAGCAATACTTTATAATGAATGTGTAATGACACGATGATTCATGAATATTTAATATACAGGGTGAGTATATAACTATTTGGATATAAGTTGAGGGATGATCGCATAGAGTTTTCAGCAGAGAAATAACATTTCAACATATATTTCGCAGGACAACCTCTATACTGTTTTGTGGTTTTCCCTACTTCTTGCGATTGTGATCGAATCATATACGTGAAGGTGCTGATACAGTTTCCCAAGATTTCTTCTTATTCAACTTCACTAACATTTTATACTTGTGAATCATCTAATTTCAATTTATTCATTACTGTTAGTCATCACATCAACATTAATTGTAAGAACATTGACTTTCACACTCTGTAAGTGTATGCATCTTTAACCAATATTTCTATAGTAATCATAATATATTTATATGCATTGTTTTCGAAAGGTATAGTTTGATTTTGTTCTGTCCCCATCCTTATTCTTCTGAGTTAATTCTGAGTGGCGCCCATAGTTTGCTTTACATATCTTCACATAATATCTTGTGGAAAAATACATGAAAATAATTATACGACTATAAAATATGCCGTGTATTGAGGATTTAATTTCTATTTTGTGAAGTTACGCCACAACACCGTGGAATATACATGGGTGTACCGTAGTATATTCTCTGATTATGGAGGTACAATTCTGAAATTCGTAGGAGCGAGATAGCTACCGAAGAGACACTCAATCACCTAATGGGATTATCGTCAGTGATATAGACTGCTCGCCAGTTCTATCTCTACAGTACAAAGGGTTTCCCTCTGAAATGAATAGAGTCTAAGCCGATTATAAAAACAACATCATATAGTCTAAGAGCCAGCTGCAAATTTCGACCGTCATCTGATAACGAAATGACATAATGTCCCAAAGACATGTGAAAAATTGTATGATTGGGAATATTCAAACGTGCCGCGATTCAAACTGATCTAAGTTGGTGGCAGAACGTCAATATTTCCGAGAATATTTCGTCTCTGTCTTAAGATAATATACGATGAACCAAGTAAAACGTTTGCAATTATTCAAATTCGCATTAGCTTCACGCTGGAAAATGGGTTTGGTGTTCTCCATCCTGATCACGAGTTCTTTGGAGTTACCTCCTGAAGTATGACAGTTATAACGAAAACGAAATAAATTCTTCCAGTTCTAAATGATATGCCAACAAAATGTCTAGGCTGTCTGAAAAAAAAAATGGTTACCTGTGCTTGTGACGTTACAGCTGGATTACCTTGTGATGCTTGAGCCATCGAAGTTTGGATAGCCGTCTGGTTAGGTGCTATTGAAGTTTGAGTGTTTTGTTGGGGTGGTAGATTCATTTTGTTGATAGGTGAATTTGAAGGCACTGTAATAAGTAATACATTTATTTGTATCGATGAAGAATCACTCGTTACCAATATTCAAAATAGTCCTCTACAAATATCACACGAAGTTATCTCTACAGCATTTCAAATGTTGTCGAGATGACTTCGTGTGTGTCTTACCATGTCTGTCCGGGTGGAATATTGAAATTGATTTTAAACCTACTTTCCGATGAGCTAGATACTCGAAATTTGGACCACAGCTTAGAAGTGGATGCGACAATCCGTGAAAATGTGGAAAAAGAAGCAGGGGCGTGCCCAGTTTTATTTTCTGGTGGAAGGGAGGGGATTCGACATTTATTGTTTTCAATATTTGAATATAAGTTATATGAAATAGTTATGTGTTCTACTAGGCAGCAAAGTAGTAGATTGACTACCGCCGATGATAGTTCATAGCCAAGTGTAGCGAGGCTAGGAATTCAGCCAAGGCAAACTCCATCATTTTGTCTTCACCCAACGTTAGTGTCAATTTTGATGGACAATTTTATTCACAAATTACTCGGAACGGGGCATAGTAACAAATACTTCCTGCCTATGCAGAGAAAGGACATAATTTCTGCCTGTTAAGTGTAAGAAAATATATATTACGTAACCAATAAGGAAACGCATCATTATGTTTTACGATGGGACATAGATGCATGCTTCATTATTTCATTTCTCAAATAATAATTGAACAGTTTGATTTATTATTGGTGAGTAGATATGACATAATGAAAATTTTTATTGTACCATGTTTTTATAACGTACCAAAAATTATAAAATAATTTGTCTAATTTGTATGAAGGATAAAACCATATAGAGATTCCTAACTTTTTCTAAATTATCTTGAAAATTTATACTTGGCAACTTTGGATACGAAAAACATATGGCACATGCAGTACATAATTATAAAGAGTATACTTAGAGAGTAGCCATAAATAAAATAATTAATTTTCGGTTCACAGCTATTAATGTATCAATTTTTTGCATGTGCATATATATTTTTGATGTAAGTACCGTGTTTTTATTGCAGAGTAAAAATTATTAAATAATTTTTCTAATTCTTATAATTAATATTATCAAAAAGGGAGAATGGGCTGAGGTGTGAACCTATAAAAACCCATTTATACAATAAGTAAGTATATGCTACACATAAAGAAAACATTATTTGTATGAAAATAGATACCAGTGCGATTTGAAGTCAAAAACATTTCACTCGGTAGTACGATCTGATCAAAATTTGAATGATGATACTGAGAGTGCATTAACTGTGTCTGCATCCAGGTTGTTCCATTCTAAGATAACACGATCAGCTATGAAGTATTGCCGTTTTGACGTCCGTAAATGTTTCTTCTTAATCGTATATTAGCATTCAACTGGTAAATATCACACAGTGAAGGTAGGTATCCATTATCCCATAAGTTAGAATCAAATCTCCAGGATGTCTTCAATCTTCGAATGTTGTCAGACTTAGCTGATTCGAACGTTCTTGTTATGATGGTCTCCTGAGACAGAAGAACATTCGGGGTGCTCGTTGTTGCATCGATTCCAATATGTTACGATCTCTAATTAATTCTGGGCTCCAAATATATCCTCCATATTCTAGGATTGGCTAACTTTGTAAAGGTTAGTGAAAGTTTCAGGTGACGTTTTCAGAAACACTTTTTTCAAAAGGTACAACTTTGTATTCGCTATTTGCATATGTTTGAAACTTTGCTGGTTATGGTAACCCCAAGATCATTGTGGCATTTAACATTAACTAATTACTCATCAATGATGGTATAGTTATGTCTTGGATTATTTTTACTAAGGTGGAGTACAACACATTTATCAATATTTAGTGGAAGTAACCACTCACAACTCCAGTTGTATAAAGAAAATAAGTCATTTTGCAATATATGTTGTGATTTTGTGTTATTATAAAGTTTTGTGTCATCACCGTAAAAAGAACAGGTTGACTTGAAAATATGTGATAAATCTGATGTATAACCCAAAAACAGCACAATACCAAGTACATATCCTTGAGGAACTCCACTCAATACAAGATATTGGTCAGAGAAGAATAATCAATTCGAACACAAAAATGTATGTTTTCTTGAAAATTCTGTGTCCACTTCAGTAGTAGTCCACTGATACCAAAATGTTCTAGTCATTTTCTGGGGACACGGTCAAATGCTTTTGAAAATTCTAGAAATATGTATAATATCCATGGGGGTATTATTGTCAGTCAGTTGTAACTGATCGATTTGGAACAAAACAATGTTGTTGTTCCGGAATTATTTTGTGATATAACAGGAAAGTTTTTAATTCATCACCTATTATTGATTCCATGATTTCGCAAACCACTGAGGGGAGACTTATGGGTCTACAGCTGTTTGAGTTGAGCTTGTTACCCTTCTTGAATATCGGTGTTACAGATGCTAACTTCCAGATATTTGGTACACAGCAGTTTTCGAATGAACGGTTATAATTATACTGAGTGGATAGATCAGATTTCCGCTGCATCTTAGAAACAGGACAGTGATACCATCGAAGCCTGGAGAGGAGGATGACTTGAGTTTCCCATTTTTTCCAGGATTTTCGACAGAGGGAAAGTTATATTGGAAAAGTTGTCCTGGTTGGGTATGGAGTTAATCTTGATTGTATTTGGTAATTCAGGTTCAATGTTAAAGAATGTTGTGAAAGTACTTGCCATCATTTCTGCCACTTCTTACTCTAGAACTAAGGTATGATGTTATATACTTGTGGAGCTTCTTAGAATTCTCAAATTTTGATAGATTTTCTTCGTAAAAAATTCTAACTTTCTTAATCGATTCAGAAAGTGTATTCGAAGAACGTCTATGACTGTGATAATCGTCGTCGTTTCTTGTTATTTTGAATCTTTTCCATATTGACTGTTTTCGTTTTATCTGTGTGAGGGTATTGTCGTTATTCCATGGTTTGAGTCAATTTTCCGAAAATGTTCTTGAGGGATATGTTCGATTCTAATGTGGAATTTGGGGTATTGTGAAAAGTCTTCCATATGGTATTCACGGCATCTCCACCCAATAATCAAGAATATAATAAGAGAAATATTCGCTTATTGACATGATATTCTGAAACATCTGAACCAGTATGAAATGTCTTCTCAATGAGGGCTAACATTTTCAGTGTCGCCAGTTGGCGTTACTAGAGCTTGAGGTCTACCGGGTGACACAGGGCATCGTATCTGGCCACCCCTGTAAGTAAGCACCATATGAAAAAAACTTTCAATATTAATATATTTTGAAATTCGACTTAGGCTTCAAGTTTTGCTTTGAAAAATATGAAATATTGACTACTCGGTCGGGGTAACGTGACTTTCGATACATGTCAAGTTTTTTTTTCAAATTAATCACTGAAAATAGGCTTAATGAATTGAATTTCAAAGAAGTTCAATGAGAAAAGTTGTTTCTGTTTCAATTTCACATAATAGGTATGTGTCTCAAATTCTTACATTCTATCACACCTTTTAGTTTTCGTTATTTTTTCTATTTCTGTAATATCGAATAAACTAACACCGACAAAATAATTTCATTACAATGACTTTATCATGGTTCTTACTTTCAATTACTAATAATCGACAAAAAAAATCATTTTCTTCAGAAAATAATAATCCCTGCTTAACATTTTTGTTATGTTTGATGCAAAGTTGATGTATCGTCTGGCATTCAGGAGCGAAATTTATTTGAATGGATTTTTCAGTACTAACATGATGCCAAAGTCTTTTATCAGAATATCATCAAACTATTTCACGTATCTAACCTGAGTTTAGGACAGTTTCGTCGAAGATACAATCAGAAGAAATAAAAAAATATGAAGAACTTAAAGATGCATTAAAGAGTTCAAATTCGATTCGAGACACATGTGTACAATTAGGAAACAAACAAATTTTCACAACAAACTTTTTGAAATTCAAACAGATAAGCCTAGTTTCAGCGATTAATTTGAAGAAAATTGGGTTTTGACATGTGGCGAAAGTCACGTGACCCCGATACAGTAACCCAATTTTCATCTTTGAACCTCAACGCACAAGTCGAATTTCAAAATATATCATTATTAAAAGTTTTTCCCATATGATGCTTACTTTATGAAACACCGTATAAGCCACCATTTCGGATTTGATCACATTACAATCCAATATGGCGGACTTCCGGTTTTTCTGGAAATGCCAGCAATGTTTTTTCAAATGGAACACCCTATCTATTTTTACATATTCAAGTTCAACAGGTCGGAACAAGTGCAATATCTATGTCAATTTTCTCGAAAATATTCAAATTAAAATTGTTTATTTATTTACCTCATGGATACATGAGATTTGGTTAAAGCTATTCACAATGAGTCGGACATAACAGAGAAACTTTTTTTTTCAGAAAAAAATTTGTTTCCCTGTTATATAGGAGTCATTGTGAATAACCTTAACCACATCACGTTTCCACTAGGCAAAATAAAAAACACTTAACATTTCAATTTTCTCTAAAAAATTATATTTGACATGACGATTGCACTTGTACAATTTAATACAATTTAATACAATTTAGTACAATTCATTACAATATACAGGGTGACCCAGGGTTAAACCGCCAAACGTTTAGGATCAGTTTTTCAGGCAAAAATAAAACGTTTCCTTCCTATAAGCATGTGTCCTAACTTGCTTCATTTCAGAGATATAGGGTGTCAAAGTTTTGATAAAGAATCAGTTCTTCATTAATTACTCAAAAACCTTTGGGATGATTTTGATAAAATTTGGTATGCTCATTTGAGGTAATAAGGGGCTCCTGTTAACTGTTTGCTTAGGATGAAATTATTATTTCCAGTAGCGTCCCAAAGGGTAATCTATCTAATATTAGGATTAATCATTGTACGCCACGTTTTTCGTGAAATGTAATTTTCTCGCAGCTTTATACAAAAGCGCTATTGAATTTTTGTCAAAAAAACCAATGTATACAAACATTATCGATGGCAAAAAAATGTATTTTTGAAAGTT